TTATTTAAGTAATGCTTTGTACAATAAAAAGTACTCAGAAAAATTCAGAGTATTATATTTCCGTAATATATCTCAAATTACTATAATATCGATGATCAATTTAAAAAAAAATTGATTATTATAATTAATTTAAAAAAAATAGTTAATTTACTTTTTCTTGCTATCTTGATACTTTTATAATATGTAAGTAGAATTCGTATCCGCATTTTATTAGCAGTTTTTTTTTTATTATTTTAATTGTCCTTTCAACTCATAACAGAATATTTTATATATTTTAAAAATTAAACAATATAAACCTTACTGTTATAGTTATAAAATTAGATTTATATAATTGTCTTTAAAAAGAAATGAAAATAAGTTAAAGTTTAAAATATTAAAACAATAATCAAAATTATCCATATTAAGCAGTCGTTACATTATTATTGTCTATTGATTATATATTGGCAAATCTTTTAAAATGAAGTACGTGAACCAGTCTTACATATTCATCATCTATTTTCAGTCACTCGACGAAGTCTGGATATGATACGAGTGCGTGCCACGGATCCTAGGCCTTGTCCGAAGTGTGGGAAGATGTATCGTTCAGCACATACATTACGTACTCATTTGGAGGACAAGCACACAGTCTGTCCAGGATATCGCTGTGTTCTATGCGGTACAGTAGCTAAATCTCGGAATTCTTTACACTCGCATATGTCGCGACAACATCGCGGCATCAGCACGAAAGATCTTCCGGTTATGCCAATGCCTAGTCCATTTGATCCCGACTTGGCGTCTCGTCTTTTGGCTAAGGCTGGTGTTAAGGTGAGTCCGGCTGAACTCCGCGCGCGAGCCAGTCCGACAGCACCTCGAAGAAGTGATATGAGGTTGGAACCACCTCGCGGAGGTGCTCCATCCGAAGCTGATAGCGGTGATGATCCCGAAGATCTCACCGTACCTCTAAGCTTTAGATATGGTTCACCAGCGCCGAACACCGTTATTACTAAGGTAAGCGGTAACAGCAACAGTAGCAGCAATAGCAAGAATTCGGCAACGACGGTGATCGCTGCCAAATCTCTGGATACTATGCACGGTAATCGCGAGCCCAACATGGCACCACTGCCACATGGTGGTCATCATCCAGGCCATAATACTAGCGCAATTGCCGGTTCGGCAATCTTGGACACTTATTTGCAGCTTATCGCAGAGAATTCAGGTTTATCGACGAGTTTAGGCCTCGGTCCGGCGGATCATGCGGCTGTTGTAGCTCATGCTGCTAAAATGCATATGAGTGCTATGGAGAAGCATAGCGGCCGCAGCATTATAGCGGAGGATTATCCTATGATTGGTAGAGATGAGGGTCGAGGTTCTGGTGTCATTCACGAGGATAGACAGGAACACGACAGGCACAGCGGGCTTGTGGATGAAGCGGAATTGTCAGGTGCGGATGACGATGAATTTAGCGAGAACGAGGAGTCAGAAGCGAAAGAATAAGTTCTTCCTCCTCATTAGAATAGTTATAACAAATCAGATGATTAGCAAAGCGCATTTCCTCGACTATTCCTTATTAAGATAGTCCTCGAATCGCGACAACGTGAATTGGCGACTCACGACTTTTCTAATGAACAAAAGGAAGGTAATATGTGCCACAGATCGTCTATCCGTGAAATCGACGATTTTTATTTCTTATTACACGCTATTATAGCGCGGAATGGTTTGTGAAGTCTATTGGATGTCGGACAAGTTTAATATTCAAGAAGTCTGTCAACTATTTTGACGCCAAGTGTACAGACGTGCATAAATAAGCTTGTTGAACTAGGGTCACTTAATTGCTACTATGGCGAATAAACGCATACGTGTATGCAAACACATACATGTACATATGCAAATACATACACATACAAATACATACACAGGCGTATGTGAGCGATATAGAACGCCCATATACGCCACAAATATTCCATCCATCTACCTCAGTGCACATTATAGATGATAGAACAGGCTAAGTCGAATCTCAGTAGATAAAGAGAAGATGAAATACCCCGCAGGATCGCAGAACAATAATAATCGCATAATTTGACGATATAGCTATAAGTTTGAATATCAAATATGATGGATTTAGAAAGGTGATGTTACTGTTTATTTTCTGAAAATTAAAACGATTTAAAAATTCAAATGCGCTAATTAATAATATTATTATTGTATCGTCATTATTATATGAATGTTGATTATATGGTAGAAATATCATTTAGATTTATAGAAAAAATTAGACACACACACACACACACACACAACTATTTAATTTAATTTTTTAAATTTTTTACTTGAGTGATGCGTGTAGAGATATAGTATCAAACTGTATCTATCAGACGCACGCATATATGTACAACTGGATGCACTAACACCTTGACTGTCATATCATTCATGTATGAATTTTATAACAAAATTACTGAAAAGTCAAATATATCTTTTTTATATATATTTTTTTTATTTTTTTGTTATGAAAAATAAACGTCCGAGATAATTTGTTTTAAAAATTTGGTATTATTTAAAGATGCATAACGAGGCGTTTTTCGCGGAAAACAGAAAATGTTATTTTATTATTTTCTTATTTTATTATATATGTGAATGACATGGTAGTTAATGTGTTAATGATATCTGATGTGTTTACTGCCTCCTACTTGCAAAGAATGAAAAGATTGGTGAAATATCCTTATAATCACGATGTACCAAATACTATTATAGACTTTATTTCCAATGTGGAAACAGTAATGATTGAATTGCGTTTCATCTTGTTCCGATTAAATATTTTTCAACAAAATTTAAGTATACAACTATTCATATTATTAATTTTTTTAAGTTTCAATTTCAGTAATAATATTTGATTCCTGAAAAGAATATTTTTTATTGGAATAATATTATATTCTTTTCTAATTTCACGATAGTATAATTATTAACATGATTCATTGATCATCAATATATTTTCTTATAAAAACCTAAGGCATTTTGAGAAATTTGAAACATAAGCATAACATAACTGATATATTTGCATTAAAAAATGATTTAGGAGCGGCATTGGAACATAATTAAATCATTACATCTATAGTGAATAAAGTCGACTGTATACACACGTATTCTCGTAACGCATTCGATATTTAATGCATTTTTGGATTAAAGAATGTTTTTTTCTTTCAAACATTTATTTTATTGAATATTAAATATCTCAACTGTTTTGACATAGGCCTACATAAGCATGTGTATTAATTCTCTTAAAATTTAACTTAATGCACGATTATTGATTTGTTATTTTATCTTCTGTTTTTCAAGTAATTTAAAAAAATGGAGGGAAGATATTTAATGTGGATAATAGTTCCTTCTTAATTTTCTCTTGGCCTTACCCTATCTCCTATTGCATGCAACATTTCTTTTGGAATAGGTAGTTGGCTTGCCATGACGTAATTAAGTAGCGACTTAAGTTCAGAATATTGATTGTTAATAGGGGAAAAAAATATGATAGTTATCATATGTCGGGAATAAAGTGATAGAATCAGCATGATAGAATCAGCATGATTTCTGAAATCGTAATTGTGTTAATTTGACGAAATATTATAAGGTGCGATTAAATTTATTCCGCGGTCTCGCGATGAAAAATAATACATTTAGACGTAGTGCGTTTAAACACTCAATTTCTCGAACAAAATGACAAATGTTTGATTGTTCGTTACTTATACGCACGTGATGTTCTTAGCGTGACAGAAATCTTGTGATTTCGCAAGGCGTAGAAAAAAGTTAATTCACCGAAAAATTCGCCACTAAACGTGCACGACGCGATATGTCGTGAAATTGTTCCTACTAATATACATAATTCATAAGCTAATTTCATTGACAGCACATTTAATAGATTCTATATATTGTATATGATAATAATAGGAATACACGTATATGCATATAGAGAAAAGAAAAGAGAAACTTAGCAATATTATGTAGCAATGTAGCGCGGGTCAAACACGATTGGCAAACGTTAAAAAATTGGCATTGTCTCATTTTAAATAGTTTTGTCTAAACTTCGCCATATTTATGGCTAGTTGTTTGACTAACTTGATCTTTAGCCCATGAGATTTAATGTGTAATCGATGGTTGATCCTTGCATTTTTTTGCACAATGTGAAATAGCGTTACCTGATCAATGTCGGGGTTAACAATGAATGAAATATGAAAGAATTTGAAATTTGTAATTTTCGCGTGAGATATTGCTATAAATTCCATTGTAAAATTTCAAGCATGAGATTAACTATTTTAATATCACAATATCGATGCGATATGAAAAACATAGAGGAAAACTATGAAAAACTGGAGTCGCATACTGCTATCGGATATGACAAACAAAAAGTTGGTAAAGAAATAGCATAAAAAGTCAAATCATATAAAAAGTCATAGAAATCATACAAAGTTTTAAAACAAGTCATAGAAAAATAGAGTTACCGTGTTTTATAAATTAATACAATCGTTAGCGTTAATTGGCCCCGATGATACAATACCGGCTTATAGAAGAAACTCGTAATAATTTCAGTTACAAAGATTTTATTACTAATCAAAATTGGTATTGTAGAAGCAAATGTATTTCTATTCCGGTTTTAAAGTTTTATCGCAATAGTGATTTACAATAAAATGCTAACTAAAAATCTTTTTTGAGTCTCAGCGATTAAACTATATGTTAAACCTATCTGAGTGACAGAGCATGGTTATCCCAACATATTGCCAATGCATAGAGCGTAAGTGAAAACTGTATTTGCTGCTTCTAGCTATTTGTTGACGGCTGTTAAAGTGAATTATTGACAGGTGCTATAATCTAATAGCATGCTGATAATTTTCGCTTTAGCGAGAACACACATTATTCTAATTTTGATTATTTTAATTTCGTATTATAATTTGAATTTTAGTTGTGTTGAGTTCTGCCGAAACGATAAGGAGCATCTTTATACTAAAATTAAATGAATTGTAAAGGATAATTCAGATATATAGAATGTACTGAGATCCCTCAAAGACAGAAGATGACGCATTTTTTGCCATTCTTTTCCTCACAGAGAGATGAATTAGTGTAACGTATAATGAATTCTGTCTCAGATCTCATCGGTATTTTGATATATAATGATATATAATGATCTTTATTTATTTTAGAACATAATTTTTACAACAATGTTAGTTATCATCAGTTCGAGTAATCTCCAAGTCTCTCAAAAAAAGAGCTAATTACTATTAGAAATTCTTATCATAATTGCTCAAATAAAGTTTGATTAGTTATCAAATAATTCTTAGTTTACCATATTAAATGATTATTAGTAAATGAAAATTTCAACTGAAAATAAAAAGAAGACAGTTTTTAATAGCGAATAGTTTGTGACTGTGAATTTTTTATCATGCTTTTCAATCCATATAACGCTTCTACTATTTTTAAACATTAAAGAAATTTTTTTTAAGAAATGTTTAGAAAACGTATTTGTTGTTGTATAAAAAGATGAATTGACAAATTGAAGAATTGATATAGCTTATTGAATTGATAGCTTATTCCCACGCTAGATACCCAAGATCTGTTTAAACTTAATGATTCAATTGGATTATTGCTATAATAATAAATTTAATTTAATGTGGATGGAGTTTCTAGGAATGTCCGTGAATGTGCTATAAGTACAACTTCATAATGTACTTAAGTCCGTTCAATTTGGATAGAGCCTGCTATATTCGAATTAAAGAATTATAGAGAAGAAGAAGGAGTCCAGAAATATAAGGTTCTATATACGACGTATAGTGAAATAAAATTTAAAAGAGCTGGTTAAAACTTAGAAAAATAAATTATTAAATTTGTTCTTCCAATTACTTTCTTAGTTTTAGTAAATACATATGTTTTCATTTTTTATCTTATTATTTTTATTTAAAATTAGGATAGAATCATTATATAAAGATATTAATTATATATTGATATCTGATTTGAAAAAAGTTCTATTAAAATTGAATTCGATAAAATTATGCACATACAAGTTAGTATTATTATAATATGATATAATTAATATTTTATTCGTATTCGGCCTTAAAAAGTACAATTAATTCTTTTGATTCTTGATTGCGTAGTCATATAACATAGTTACGTGAAAATAAAAACTAATAGTATTTTTAATTTATATTGAAACAAATATGTGCAATATCATAAAAATTTTTATAAAATTTTTTGCATTTTGTATTGTATAAAATGTATATAGCAATACTTAATGATAATAATAATTTGCTATATAGATATGTAAAATATTACTTAATAAGCCAAAATTATAAAACAAGGTTAAAGAAAAAAAGATGCAATTAAAAAGAAGACAAAAGATAATATATTGAAAGATCTAAAGAAAAATTAAAATATTCAGACTTTCATATTGTTCGATGATTAATTCATACAATTTTGAAAATTTATATCCAAAACATTTATATCCAAAATTTTTGAAATACGTGTTTTTACAGATTATATTATTTTCTGATCGAAACGAAATATTGTAGTCTTAATTATCCAAACGCCGATATAAATATAACAGAATAAAAAGAGTCAAATTAATGTTACGAAAATATTACTCTGTAGATATTATACAATCAGAAAAACTGGTGATTAATTCATGCAATTCTAAATACAGAAATCCTTTCACAGACAACATTATAATACATTAAATATAGCATACGAAGTATGTCGAAATTCAAGTGCAATTTAACTAAGTAGATTTTATGAAAGAAAAACATTTGTTGCTAATTAAACTATCGCATTTTTTGAAAAATATTTCTGTTGATAATTAGAATTTTGAAACTTCACTACAATTTGGCCGGACATTTTAAGCATTTATCTTTTTAATTATACAAAATTACAGGTTAAGAGCAAAAACTTCATTAATTTGCTCCAAGTGTTTTCATAAATATCAGAGAATGTGTTCTATTGCATAGAAATTTTTTTTTTATTAGAAAGATTTAATCCGAACCTGACCTAAGTTTTAGGAAATTCAAAACTAAAGAAAAATGATGAAAGAAGCACATCTATAATAGTAAATAATATACGAAATAATATTATATGATGTAATTCAATAGATGAAGAAAGAATTAAGAAAAAGAGAAAGCAAAACGAAACTCGAAATGATCAGAAACTTTTTTTAAAAAGATAAAACGAAAAGTATAAATGTATTAAAATATATTGGAAATTTATAAGAGAATTATATTTATGGCAGTATTAATGTCAATATTAATAAATTTAATAAAAAATAAAAGATTT